AATGTCAAGCAGCTTGGTTCCTTAAGGAAGGCTTTAGGGATTTGGTTAGACAATGTTGGCAAGAAGGAAATTGGTGTGATAAGATCAAAAAATTTGAATCTGTTGTAACTTACTAGAATAAATCCAGAGTAGGTGATATTCTCAAGAAAAAGAATCAGTTATTGAGAAGAATTGAAGGTATTGATCGGCTAGAAGCAGGAGAGATTCCAATACCTCAAGCAGTTGGAAGTAAAGCTTTGGAAAGATTATAATAAAGTCTTAGCCCAAGAAGAGTTACTATGGTACTAGAAATCTAGATGCAAATGGCTTAATTGGAGGGATAGGAACAGTAGATTCTTCCATGCTACTACTAAAATTAAACAAAGAAGGAATAGGATTGAAGCTCTCAAGGATGATCAGGGTAGCTAGGTTTTTGATAAGGAGGAGCTGAAACAATTGGCTTTAAAGTATTATCATGACCTCTTGAATTTAGAACCAAGAATGCAAGCCCTTACTCTATCTATGTTTCCTTTCCAAGTTCAGTAAGTGAGGATATTGCATTTATGTCTAAGGAAATCTCTAACGAGGACATTAAACAAGTAGTTTTTGAGATAGGTGGATTCAAAGCACCAAGACTAGATGGCATTCAAGTTGTTTTCTACTAATAATATTGGGATGTGTTAGGAAGTTTAATTTCTTCTCTTGTGAAAGATTTTTTTCTTCACTTGGAGAAAGTGGAAGGGATTAACAATACTCACATTTTTCTCATACCTAAGGTAGAGAGACATGAGACTATGAAAGATTTTAGACCTATCTCTCTTTGTAATGAGTTATAAAATTGTGTCCAAGGTTATTGCCAATAGAATTAAGCCTATTATGGACAAGATTGTTAGCTAGCATTAGAGTATTTTCATCGTGGGACGGCAAAGTAGCGATAATGTTATTATAGCATAAGAGGTGATTAATTCCATAATGAGAAAAAGTGGGAAAAAGGGCTTCATTTTAGTTAAAGTAGACTTGGAGAAAGCTTATGATAGGCTTGAATGGTCCTTCATTAAAGATTTTTTAGAAGAGGTAGGTTTTGGTGACAAGATGTGCAGTATAATAATGGCTTGTATCAGTACCCCTTCAATTAAAGTTTTGTGGAATAGAGAGACTTCTAAAAGCTTTAAGTCTTCTCGTGGTCTGAGACAAGGGGATCCTATCTCCCCTTACATCTTCACGATTTGCATGGAAAAGTTGAGTCATATCATTGTTAATGAAATTTCAAGAGGGAAGTGGCAGCCTATCCAATTAGTAAAGGATGGGCCACTTCTCTAACACTTATTCTTTGCTAATGACTTGGTCTTTTTAGTGAAGTTTCTCGTAGATGAATAAGTATGTTTCTAAATTTTACAAAGCCTCTGGCCAAAAAATGAATAAGGAGAAGACTAGACTTTTTGTCTCTATTAATGTCCATATTAATAGAGCTCTTAAGCTTAGTAAGGATCTAGATATTGGTTTGATGAGTAACTTGGGTAAGTATTTGGGCATTCTACTTACCCATGGATGAGTTACTAATAGTCTATTTCTGCCCATCTTGATGAAAGCTAAAAATCATATGTCAAGGTTCAAGGGAAGTTTCTTACTATGGCAGGAAGGGTAACCTTGATTAAGTCAGTAATTTCATCTTTGCCAAGCTACTACTTGTAGACTATTCTTCTTCCTACCAGCATCTTGAATGAGTTAGAGAAAGTAAGTCAAGAGTTTCTATAGGGTGAACAGGATAGTTTAAAGAAAGTGCATCTTTTAGCCTGGGATGTCCTTTAAAGGCATAAAGAAAATGGAGGTTTGGGAATTTAAAACCTGAAACATCAAAATCATGCCTTCATTTGGAAACTTTGTTGGGGTTTAATTACAAACCCAAAGGCCTTGTGGGTATAAATGTTAAAATTTAAGTATCGATATGATGAAGGAGGTACCTTAAAGATTAAGAAGAGGGTGGGTGACTCTATCACATGGAGGAGCATATACAAACTTTAGAATTCTTTCTAATTAGGGGTAGGTAAGAAGATCTTTTTAGGTAATCAAACCACTTTTTGGTTTGATAAATGGACCCCTAATAGATTGCCTCTCATTGACTTTGTGGAACATGAGAAAGAATTTATTGATATCACTAAGAAAGTGAGTGACTATGTTCTTCCTTTTGGAGATTGGGATGTTTACAAAATGTATCCCTAGCTACCTACATCTGTTGTGGACTATATTACTAGCATACATGCCTCTTGTGAGGAGAGCAAAGAGGATAAACACTTTTGGATCCATTCACCTAATGGAAACTTTTCTATAAAATATGGTCATTCCTTTCTTCTTATAGGTTAGACGGACAATTGTGAACCCATATGGCGACAAGTTTAGAGATGAAACATCCCAGAGAAGATGAAGAACCTTTTTTGTAGTTTATACATGATAAAGCCCATACAATAGCCCTTTAGATCTATAGAAGACATGCTATTTCAAGCCTTTGCCTTTTTAGATGTGAGAAAGTGGAAGATACTATGCATTTATTTCATGATTGTAAGCATGCTAGAAACTAGTGGTTTGAGTCTGTGCGCCCTAATTTCAATTGAAAGATTTTTAGTTTAGATAGATGTGACTGGTTTGATTAGAACAAGGAGAAAGTAGGTTTATGTAGTACTCATTGTGTGCCTTGGTATTATCTTTTTATGAATATATCTCAAAATATTTGGAGGAATAGATGCAGAGTTCTCTTCCAAGAAATTGATAGTGAGGATTGAAGAGCCCTACTCTCTTTTATTTAAGGTAGCTACTGATTACATGTTTTCAAGTAAGATTTCTATGTTGCATAATTTAAAATCAAGTTTAAATAGATATCCCTTGCATGAGAATATGATATTGTTTAAGACTGATGGCTCTACCTTAGCTGATGGTCGTAGCTCCTGTGAAGGCGCCGTGAGAGATGTAAGTGGAGATTGGATTCAAGGTTTTAATTGCAAGATGGAAAGTATTCTAGCTACCATTGTTAAAATCTATGGTATTTTTAAGGGACTTGAGTTTTGTTGCAATAAGGGTTTTAGGACCGTGGAGGCCTTTTGTGATAGTGCACATGCTATCTCGCTTATCACAAGGGACAACCATAATTTCTATCCTTTCATGGATATCATTGAGTTGACAAAGAGATTATTGTGTAGGAATTAGAGCATTAACCTCAACTTTGTTTATTGTGAGGAGAATAGGATGGCTGACTTTTTAACGAAGTTGGCTTTAGTATTCCTTGTGATTTTATGCTTTTTGCCAACCATCTTTTTTTTAGATTTTGGGTTGTTGTCGTTTTCTTTTTGGTGGTTTTTTAGTTACTTTCGTTTCTATTTTTTTGTTGGTGTCTTTGTACCCTTTGTTTTGTTCCTTTTTGAATGAAGGTTCCTATGCATAAAAAAAAAATGAATTACCTCTTTGTGGTTAAGGGCAGGGTCTTAGGAGAGCCAGAATTAGGGTTGATCGATCTGATAAGCATATTTAAGAGATTTTATTTGAGGTTAAACCTTCAAACCCTCAATCTCATAAGGGTGTTTTATCATTTATATATGACACTAAAATAGAAATTGTTACTAAAGAAGAGACTGCCATAGCAAAATTGACTGATTTTATTAAGTTGAATCCTCCTACTTTCTCTAGAACTAATGAAAAAGAAAATCCAATGGCATTCCTTGAAGGTGTTGAAAAAAGGGGTCAAACCTTGAGGTTCCCAGATGTGCAATATGTGAAGTTTGCTATTTTTCAACTTAGTAGGGAAGTAGAGGAATAGGTTAAAACTATTCTAGGTGTCAAGGATAGAAGCATACAGTCTTTGTCTTTGGAAGAATTCAAGGATGTATTTCTTTAATGTTATCTTCCACAAAGTAAGAGAGATGCCAGGATTGAAGAATTCTTAAATTTGAGATGTGCTGGGTCTATATCGGAGTATGATCAAAAATTTGTAAAGCTTTCCTCTTTTTTCCCTTCACATTATGCCTTTTGAGAAAGAAAGGATTTGCACATTTGTTCATGGTTTACCCCAGGAGATACATGATCCAATATCTGTTATGATGGAGCTTTTTACTAGCTATTCACAGGTTGTGAATGCTGCTCTAAGAATTGAGTTGAAGCATCAAGAAAACTGTAATACCCTAATTGACATTACCATGCAACTTTTCACGTAATCACATCCATGTAATGTAAAATCTTCTTTTCAAAAGGTTAGGATCCCTACATAAAACTTTTCAAAATCATTAGAAAGATAATATAGCCAAATTAAAATAGCACACAATAAAAGCACTCAATTCAGCCTTATATATCACCAAAGAAATTAGAGTAGACAATAAAGTTCACACAAAATTGAGCCATGTGCCGCAGCCTGTGGCACGGAGTCACAGCTCTTACTTTTTGTGTCATGCGTCACAGCTTGTAGGCCTATGCACCATGGCATAACACTTGAATCTACTGTCAAATAGTAGTTTCTGGTGTAAAGTGCACTATTTCCTCATCCAATATTGGATTGGAGTGAATCAAGTGCCCATACGAAACTTGTTTCAAACCAATGACACTGGTTTCATTCTAATATGATATCTTAATCAAAAGTTAGACACCCCAAGTGTAATTTGACTATTTTAAATCAAAATTTCACCACTTGAGCATATCTAAATGGAACCACACATCATTAGCCACTTCTAGGGCCTTGAACAAATCTAAATAGACGATTAACACCTGATGGAGTAGTTGTATTAACAATAACACATTCAAACACACATTTGTCCTACGAATTACCAATAACTTACTTTTGGGTATAATCCAATTTTCTCATTTCCATTCTCATACAAACATACTTACAAATATTTATTACTGTTTGCATCATGTAATAGCCCAAAATATATATATATATATAGATAAATAAATAAATAAATATAATATTGATAGGGATATATAAGTTGGTTCTAGCTTATATGAAATTACCATAATGCCCTCTTCCTCATGTGATAAATCTCTTTTATTTCTTCCTTATCCAGTCAGTGCACACACAGAGAGAGAAAGAGTTCAAGAGTGTTCAATAATGCTCTCTAACCTTTTACCATAACCGACCATCTCTCCCCTATTTACTCCTGGCTATCACCGACAACCGAGAAGGCTCCTACTATTTAGTGACGTTCAAACGTTCGTCCATGTGTGTGGACTCTAATTTTTTTTTCTCCTTCTCGATATATTGCTTTCCCTGCGTCATTAACATTTGAGTTGTAGATGAAATAAAGGACCAGATCGTTGAGGCTAGGAGGTCTTTCTCACGAGTCTTTCCTTTCCTGGCTCAACCGCGAGCTTTGTGCTCTGTTTTAATGGTTTGTGCTCCCTGTTTTTGCATTTTTTCTGTGTGTTATCCATCTGTGTTATTCTGGGTTGTGAAGTCACAAAGTATTGAGTGCTGAAAGGCTGTTACTATGAGCTTGTGTTTGTGTGGCTGAATCATTCTTCTTCCATTGTTAGATATGGTGATAACATTCAGATTATAGCTTCCCCTATTCAGCGTTCAAGAGTACTTCCGTTTCTTTTTTCTCCTGGTTCACCACTGTTTAGGCCGGCTAAGTTGAGGTGAGGGAATTTCGACCTTCTATTTGTTAGCATGTTATACGTGTTTAAAGGAAGTATGTGCTGTTGCTGCCATATGTGTGAAGTTTCAACATTTTTTGCTTTGTTTTGCTGCTGTCCATACGTGTGTCAAGAAGATGAGTAAAAAAAAATAAAAAAATGAATGAAAATGAAATTAAGCTAGAAATTTTGAGGCAGGAAACTACATTAAAGAAGCCTGATAATAATATGTATGTGAGTGGCATAGAATTTAGATTTTGGTTGGATTGATTCATGTTAAAGAATTTATTAAGGAAAGATTGGAAAAGGATAGTCTTGATATATTACTTGAATATTAACTTCATGGAGATGCCTACTAGAAGGTTTGAAAGAAAAAAAAAAATTAAAGCATGAATTTTGGTGACGAATTTTAAATGATAATGGTTGATATATGCGAAGTAGAAGGAAGTCTTTGTAAATTAAAGACGAGTTGTTAAATTTTGTTTAATAATATTCTTATAAGACGTGCGGAAGAAGAGGATCCTGATAGAAATTGAAGAAGGAACACTTTGAGAATTTGAAACTTCAACAAGTGAATAGCATTCCTTATAATTATTTATTGAAAATCTTTTATTGAAATATTTCATTTTTATAAATTATGTTAGTTTTAGAAATTTTGAAATAACGATGAAGGAAAGTTACATTATGATTTGTGCATTTTCTCAAGAAATATATTTCTAATATTGATGAAGGCTCCTTTGCTTATTAAATTTCAAAAATTTCTTGGTTACATGATTAGTACAAGTTTGTACATTCGTTATCATGTATCGATTTGGCAAATTTCATATATTTGAAGTAATTTATGCGAGTTTGATCTTGAGAATGAAAGTTTGACTTCAAAAATGATTATTTCTCTCGTGTGTTTGAAACGAGATTTCTAAGAGAACTCTATATAGAACCCTGCTGCTAACAGCAGTTCCATTAGCCCATAGTGCGCTGTGGTTAAATACTAGTTAGTTTGTTTCATGAGTTTTATTCTCACATTTAGTATTCGTGGGCTTTATACCTGCGTTTGATTTCATGGCTTGAGCCACGTTTGGTTATTTACCTTCGTGGGCTGTGTGTCCACGTTTGTTTCATAGCTTCGGCTGTGTTTGGTTACTTACCCTCGTGGACTGGTGTGTCCACATTTGTTTTCGTGGCATAAGCTGTGTTTAGTTATTTACCCTCGTGAACTGTGTGTTCACGTTTGTAACCTGTTCTATTGAGTTCTCAAAATTCTAAATGTTGATTAAAGTGTTTTTAAATTTCATGATTTTGGCTAACAATTTTACCACTTTGAGGAATATGTGAGTAAATTGTTTTCTTTAAGCATGATAACAAATTTTTTTTAATTTACTCTTATTTTACAATTGTGGATATAATTTTTAGGCTTACAAATCTTTGTGGAATCATTTTTAACTAGTGACACCATTATTGGAGTTTATTGATTTAAATTCTAAGAATTTTACCATGGGAATGCTATTCACTGAAAAATTTATTTGGTCTTAGATTTGTTAGCTGATGCTGATCCTACCATCAACCTCTAAAGGGCAACAAGCTACAGTGGGTGGACCTTTTGATTGGTATTGTTGCTTTAATGTAAATATATAATTTGTATGTCTTTTTGATTTGAAAGAAAGAGTATATACTCCACATAGGTTGTTGATAAATCTTATTTTTGGTCTGTATATTGGTTGCTGGCTAGAGGGAGCTACGCTCTTGATTTATACTGTTATCTGTAAGAATTTTTGTTGTAGAGTTTTCAGGAGATCTTAGTTATAGGGGAGGTTCTGCTGAAATTTCTACAAAAATATCGACACTCTCTTATGATATCGAGTTTAAAGAAGTTATTTTAATTCTTATGTGATTTGATTAAATTTTATTCTGTTCTTTTGTAAAAGGGAATAAATATCCATTTGGAGGCTTACAGGAATGTGAGAGTGGTTTACACCCGTGCCAGTCACCCTTTATTTTTGGGGCGTGACACATCACATACATATATATACCTATGCTATGGGCTAGGATACCAAAATCATACATAATTGCATTCATAAGTTTATGTACTACACTAGATTTCTTATGGCAACTTATATGCTTGATCACAACTAATAATATACAAGTTCATTACACCAATTCTTACAAAAGGGCTTTAGTGAGGAAATATCGACTCAGACCATATCCTTCCCCTTTACGCTACTACTATTAGGACCTGAAAAGTATATATAACCATGGATGAGATAATAACCTCAGTAACCAATATAATTCATTAGATGCTCATTAACATAAACAATTACATGGAAGTGTATAAAAATAAAATCAATAGTTCATATAGCAAAGTAATTTGATATATCATTTTCACAAATTAATCATTGTACAATCATTTCTATTAGCATGATCATTTATCCGCTAAACCTCAAAGCTCCCCGCCATGAAACCATAGACTCTATTAGATTAATCACTTATTGATTCAAGCATGCCTTTAGTGGTAGAAACACCTTGCCAAAAGTAATTTATCCTACCTAGGGACTATGGTTTGCCTCATTTCACATGCTTGTGATAAAGGTATTGTGGACTCCTAACTGTACCCTGAGGGCACTAGGGAGTTACTAGACTGTCAAATGTCCCATGGTAACAGTTCTAGTATATTGTTGCACCAAATGTCCCATAGTGCCCGCCTAAATATGAATTTGTTTCACTCACATCTTTACACATACACACATCCGCACATATCTTGGTGAACTTTCACCCCCAATGATCATGCTTTTCACACAAGTCTTGTCTCAATTCCACGCTTAAATAATGTACATATACACATACATACATACATGCGCGCGCGCACACACACACACACACACACACACACACACATCAAATAAAACCAGTAATCATCAAATTTTCATTTCATAAATCAAGTTCATGCTGAAATCATTTATATTGCAAATCAAGCATAAATTCACAAAGCAATGATGCATATTTATACGTTTACTTCTACACAGTTATGATGGTTAATAAATATGATAAAATATATGATTACCTCAACCCTTTTATTTGTAAGAAAGGATTACCTATGTACAACCACTTCACAAAACTCTCTCTAGCTATTCCACTTGCTGCACACAGAAATCTACACAGTTTAAGGCATCCAAAGTCAATTCTTTCTTGACTAAAAGTGCCAAGTATAACAACTAAGCACCTAATCAATGTCCTAACCCATATTTTGGTTCATTCACCCATGCCACAACTAGTTTTAGCTTATTTCCAACATTATTGAAATTTTAATAATTCAGGATCTCTAATTGTAATTAATGGTTTTATGGGGTCCTTAATTGTCATTGTCTCTTTTTTAAATATTCATCTAATTTATTTATGAATTCTTGTGTATGAATCAAATTTAGTCTACATAATATAAAATGATGTCTTAAGGTGTAAATTTGTGAGATCCTATGTAACATCCTCATTCAACTAAATTATAAATGTATCAACTCACTATCATTTAATTAAATATGAATTTCAAAGTTTCCAAACCAACATTAGGATAAGGACATTTAAAACCAATTATTTCCTTTGTTAAAAAAAACCCAATTATTTCCATGGGAAGCCTAACAATTAATGCAAATACTTTTAAATAATATTTTATATAAAAAGGTGTTCACCCCAATTTCACAAACATATCAAGATAAAATCATTTGTTTGACTTTAGATTATCAATATACTAAAAACACATAATTTCAAATTCATCCTAGGTCATGAAAAATAATAAAACAAACTACATGTGCAAAATTGAAGAATAATCAAAGCCTACAGGCTTAACTCTTTGGTGCCTTCCTTTGTGACCTATTGGAACACTCACTTGAAAAATGTAAGAGGTAATAAACGATATGTAATGTCTCATTAACAAATGAAGATTCTAAATATACTAACAAATCAATTTGACGTCCCTTTAAAAATAATATATTTACAAATAGGGAATATTGTTTTAACAATAAATTCAATGAAATTTAAATCATTAGACCATAAAAAACAAGTGATGTAATCATTGACCAGACCTTATGTCCTGCGATTCACCTTACAGGGTTAGCTAGAGCCTAGCTTGAAGATATAATTGGCCAAAAGTGCATTATTTTTAAAACTAGACTCCCCTCTTTAAAAGGAGGTGTTTGATGTCCCACAATCTCAAACCAAGAAAAAGGGGCCCTAACAAAGGACCATCCACAATGCACCAAGTGGATCTATAGCATATGACATTAATAGAATAAAAAAAAAATCTTTCATCACATTCACCATAGATCACAATATCCACCCTTATACTCCTTATAAGCACATCACATCCACAAGGTTCTACACATACAAGCATGGTTGAAAAGAACAAAACATATTTCTTGTAATATTTCAAATATCCACACTACTAGAGAAAACTAATTTGGTGAAGGACAAATCTCTCACTAAATGGCATCACTAAATGGAAATTAGCAAGGGATTTTGTCCCCCACTAAATACATACAAAAAAGGCTTGCTAAATTTAGTGAAGAACTCGATATACATGCTTATATTTAAAAATGGCCACTTAATGCCTTCACCTTACCACCTTATGGTATATCACCTGTCATGTGTGCATCAACTTATGCAATATCCCTTACCACCACATGCCTCACCACCCACCACATGTGGGTCGGTTCATGATATGTCACGTACCATTTCATGCCTTATCACTTGACACATGTGTGGTGATTCATGCTATGTCACTTGCCACCTAATGCAACATCGCTTGTTCACTACCATGTCATATCTTCATTATATTCATGCCAAGACCAAGACGGGGATCCTTGATCTCCTACATTTTCCAAGCGTCATGCTCTTTTTTTCTACCAATTAAACTGAAATGCACCTATATTATTGTATGAGAAATTAAACATATGTTATTTTTTTGAAGTAAATTATATATATATATATATATATATTAACATAGAAAACAATTACAATAGGCTTTCAGATGACAATCTAAAAGCCCAACAAAGAAGTCTGACATACAAAAGCAAGCATATAAGGATAACAAAGACCACACTACACTAACATTTAGCAATGCCATAGTCAGAATCAAGCAGATAAGTTAGAAGACTGAAGATTTTAAAGCTTGCTATAAGAAGAAAATAAGTAAATAGCCCAAAGGCTGGCCCAATGAAAATTTTAAAAGGCCCAACAAGCAAAGTAACGAGTGGATCTCTTATATGAGAAGAGATCAGTAACTGATGAAAGTTCCCTCAAGATTTGAAGGACCAGTCAACTAAACAGCTTTGGCAGAGTTAAAAACTTGTCTGCATGATTCAGAAAAGGACAAAACTAATCAAGGAAACTGATAACTGACAAACTAGAAGCAAACTAGTAGTTTTTACCCAAAAAAAAAAAAAAAATTGCTCGTATTGGCGAAGGAGAGATTAGGAAGGAGTCTAAAACCCTCAGGTGTGGATCCATTAAGCCGATTATTTTGGATTCGAAGCCTTGCTAGTGAAGTGCGATTCATTAGGGATTCTGGAAAAGCTCCTTCAAAATCATTATCAAAGAAGAATGAGCTTGATTAGCTTACACTTCCACCGCAAAACACTTTCATCGCAAATTTGTGGCTGTACTATAACATTTTGTCTGGACATATTATCAAACATTGCCTGTGTTATTTTTACCTCACCACACGTGGTTATCAGTGTTGTTAATGCACCCAATATCCGAAGTTGAGAGATCCCAATTGAGAGCGAGGCGTCCACTGCACTTGCCAATGTTGCATAATCGGGATTGATATTCAACGCACGCATCTCGTGAAATAGAGTTAATCCTGTGAGCGAGTTTCAAACCATATGAAGGAACTTCAATCTGGGTAAATTCCCATAATATGAAGGAATCATACCGTTGAAGTAGCTCCCACCAAGGTTCAACCTCTCGAGCAATCGAAACCTGGTGAATTCCTGAGGCAGAGGATCAACAAAGTTGTCGCTATAACCATTGAATTGAAGAAGATATGTGATTGATACCTAGAGTTTTAAGTTCACGGAGTTCAAAAATTGCATTTTTCCTAGTGAAGTCATTCCGACCAAGATTCAAGTGGTTCAAGATGGTCAAAACGGATTCGGGGAGAGATCGAACAAGAGAGATTACTCTGAGTAAGGTCAATGATGATGATCTGGGAAGTCCAAGCGTGGCATGTCATTCCAGACCAAGAACACGAAACAGACTATCTGGAAAGAGGACAAGAGACAAAGGAAGCCGGGGGAAGGATGGGAGGAAGGGATTATGGGCAAATATATCATTCCACAAAAAAAATTAAAATGACAAACAAGTTCTAAAAGATTAGAAAATAATTATCACAATTCACTATACTTATGTATCATTTACTTATTTTAAAGGTATTTCATTGTCACTTACCCTATATTATATTTTTTAATAAAATATTATTTTTATTAGAAAAATTAACTTAAAATAAAGAAAATATTGAATATTAAATAATTCTATTATGCACATTTTAGTTAATTTTTAAATTTGAATTGTATTTTTAAATAAAAATAATTAAATATATAACTAAAAATTTTTTTAAAGTCATTTTATTTTTTAGTAATTAGTTAAGGACATAAGTCCTTGCCAACACTTTTAAATTTTCAATAATTATCTTATTTTTAGAAAGGCATACAAATGTCTTACTATTTTCTTTGCTAATTATTTATTTTTAGAGAGATATAAAAATGTCTCCCCAATTTCCTTACTAATTATGTTATTTTAAAGAGAAGTACAAA